TCTCCAGGGTAAGACGTAATCATTTAGTAGATCGTTCACTATACCAGAATTGTAGTAATATCTAACTATTCCAAATGTATACCATACAAATGTCTCGAGGATATGGCGTAAACATTTAGTAGTTCGTTCACTATGCCAAGAAACACAATTTCAGTCCCTCGAGGATATGGCGTATATATTTAGTAGTTCGTTATTTGTGACAAAAGATCTAACAAAATTCCAATCTCTCGAGGATATGGCGTAAACATTAAGTTGTTCGTTAACTGTAACAAGAAATTCAACAAAATTCCAATTCCACGTGGGTATGGCGTAAACATATAGTTGTTTGTTCACTGTGCCAGGGCATTTATGTATTATAAAACAATGTCGAGGTCTTTAAAATTGATTGGCGTTTTGTGACAATTACGTATTATATTTGAATGTATGCTCGAGCTGCGAAAAACGCGTGACTAGTAAAACAAATCGCTCGCTCGCGGTAATTTTGACACCTTCGCGAATCGTCTCTCGCCTGAATACTGTCGTAAAACCTGGCTGACTGCAAATATATTTGAATTGCTGGTGTTTCTTTCATTGACAATATATCATATTAATGACGCCCGAATTTATTATAAAAAGGATGATATGATTGATACGTAATTCCCTCCGGGGATTATATAAATAATTTAAACTATATGTGTTGAACGTTAAGTTTGAATATAATTTATGATGGTAAATGTAATGGTGAAATTAAAATGCTAAAGATTTGAGTCAGACACACCAACGCTAAGGCCAGACTTTTATTTACAAGGTTATAAATGGAATAAAATTGTATTTCATTTCTTCTCTCCGATCAATGATCTCACTCACAATTCTTTAAGAATCACACAAATCTAATGGAAAAAAAAGAATTACTAGTAATTGTATTTTTTTCCGCCCTCCTCACAAAAATTGCCTCATAAAAACAAGGAATAAAAAAGTCTGGCCTAATGCCCAATGTGTCTTTAGTTGGACAATTTTGTTTATTGTCAAAAGTTAACACTAAATTGTTCTAATAATGAGGTTTGGTAAAACAGATGACGAGAACGAGCATATCATTCTCATTCAAGTCAACGTCTATTACATGTTGAAATATGTCTATAACGATGTCTAATTATTCACACATGCAGCAGATCGCCGTTATAGGTGTAGTAGTTTTCTTATTACAGGTAATTTCTCAGCTTTGGAATTACACTACACACTTCATCGGAAACTTGGGTATTATATTATAAGTACGTTTCTTCCAAGTTCTCTACTTGTGGTGCTATCATGGGTATCGTTTTGGATCAATCCAGAAGCAGCGCCCGCTAGAGTTGCGTTATGTATAACAACAGTTCTGACCATAACAACAATGGCAATAGCAGTACGAGACGATCTTCCTAAGGTATCCTACGTCACAGTAAGTTAAATCCTTCTTTGTGGTTATATGTTCTTTATTCGAGATAAGTAAATTAATCGTCTTTTTCACAAAGTAAAATACAGACAACAGAATATGACTTTGATGCTAATTGTTGTTGTTTTTTTTGTATTTATGTAGGCAGTTGATGTGTGGATGTCGTCATGTTTATTTTTTGTATTCGGGTCACTGGTAGAATTTGCCTTTGTTAATTTCGTGTCATCACTAAGAAAGAATGAAAAGAAGAAGAAAACTGACGTAAGTTGGATTTGATAACAAAATATTGAAATTGGGTTCACAGAAATAGCAGCATGTTAATACATGTATATAGAAACGTTTAGGGAACACATTTTGAAATTCAAATCTCACTTAATTAAACCAAAAATTTTAAGTAAACGTTGACAGGGGGTTGGGGTTTTCTACATTCAAGTTCGTTTTGCTAGTATGTTTATTATTGTATACTTCACGTGTTTCAAAATACATGTTAAACCGTTCCAATCACTAATTGATGTGGCTTTAGAGTATTATCAGAATACCACGCAATCGCCGAGAGTCATACAATGCACGATATATTGAGGCAATCGTAATTTCACTGTAACTTATCAATCAATAATTACAACGGGTTCTAAAATAATTAATGAAAAGGTATACGTAATTCAAAATATTAGATGTAATATATTACGTAACATTATTAATTTGATTCCTCGTGCGGACATAAATTGCATCATGTGTCTGCATTATTTCGCTTGCAATTAAAACAATAGACTCTCAGAAAATCTAGCGAGTATTACAAACGCTACTTCGCGATAATTTCTCAAAAGGTATTCGGATTTGATATTTGATTTACTAAAAGGTTATGAATGTCTCAAGCATAATCGCAACCATCTTAATGCAGTCCCAGGTGATGTGTATAAGCTGTGGGTGTTATATTTTAGTTCACACATCAATGTTCAAATATGTCTTGCAGCTTACAGCATTCATCCATCATTCACACGTGTCTGTCATGTATCAGTAGATTGTCCTGCTGGGTATGACTAGATGTATCTTGCATAATTAGTTTACTACAAACATAGGATAGGATTAAAACATGTACATAATTAACACCAAAAATAACTATAATATAACACATACATGGTTAACCTTCATTGATTTGCGAAGGTAAGTTTAATGCCCCAACTGCTTACACACATGATTTAGCAGAATATGTTAGTATGTGGCATCCAGTTCTACTCTTGATTTTGTTGTTTGTTTTTTCATTTCAGTTAAAAATAAATGTTGAGAAAACGAAAGATGGCAATGACCTGGCTGATGCCGTCGAAAAATGTCTGCCTCAAGCAATTAATATCGAGAAGTGCGAACGATGTGGAACACATGCATCCCGATATTGGCGGAAACGGGCCCTGTTTGTTGACAAGGTTGCCCGTATTGTCTTCCCTCTCTTGTACTTCATATTCAACATAATGTTCTGGCCAATTTACCTGAGAGAAGGGATGCCCTCTTGGCTTATAAATGATTGATGAGTTGACTCTCGGATGCATAGATCAAGATGACATTCATTACTGAAGAAGATTTGCATCAAAAAGATTTCTATTTTGCATATCCCAGAGCTATGACGACCGCAATATACAATGCTTCCCCTAGTGCAACTGACAAATAAATTAAAATAGCAATATCCTTTTATGAAATGTAGTCATAATTGTTGTTGTTAAAATCTTAAACCATATATATGAATAATATTTTAAATTTCTTGCCGGTAAATAATTATATGACGTCAATGAGATGTATAGCAGAAGGTATTTACGATATAATGTGTTGTGTTGTGCTGTGTTGTTCATTAAATCTGATGATATCGTGAACCGATGTTGCAATTCATAAACTCTTACGACCCACATCTAAAAAATATGGTTACATCACGACTGGTGTTGATAACAATGGATATGACTTGACAAGGTACACCAGGTTACCTACGACCAACCACCAAGGCGTATGTTACCTTACACATCAATTACGATATATATTACAATAAATTGTTACAAATGTAAGTTATGTTTTGATAAATGTATGCAATATAGTTATGCTATTTTTCTATTGACTTGTGGAAACGTACGAAAATTACAGTATGTGAGCCTATTTATTTATCTATAAACGAGTTTTATTGTGATTAAATCCCAAATCAGTCATTCAAAATGTTAACTCACAGTAGATGCTTTAATGTAGAGAGCAAAGCAATTAAATAATATCGACTATATAGCAAGGTAAATAATACCGACTACATAGCAAGGTAAATAATACCGACTACATAGCAAGGTAAATAATACCGACTACATAGCAAGGTAAATAATACCGACTACATAGCAAGGTAAATAATACCGACTACATAGCAAGGTAAATAATACCGACTACATAGCAAGGTAAATAATACCGACTATATAGCAAGGTAAATACTATGTTATTACGTTCACAAGTTTCACCATCACAGATCGGAAAATCTTTTCCCACAATGTATGTCGTAATAAAATCCGTTATTTTTATGGACATATGCCCGATGACCGAAGGAAAGATGTGTAGCTGGTCGATTTGGTGCCGTGCGTGAGCGCCGACACGAGTCGAACACGCAATAGATGTTTACTTTGATTTACAATATATTTATTTTCCCTTGCATTCTGTATTATTTACATGCGATACGTTATTTGTTAATGTCATTTATGTCATATTTGGTATATTGACTGCAATAAAACTATTTGACAGTGAACGATTTCTCTGCTTGTATTTATTACAAAATAGGTAGTTGTCTTGGGTATTTTAGTCAACGTTTCTATAAAATTAGTTCCAATTAGTGTCACTAACTTGCAAATCCTTAGGTTTACACTTAATCCATGGGTGTTTCATTGCACAATAATGTATGCAATCAATCAATCTTATTCCAATTTATAATAGTAGCGTCAATAAGTGGATGAATCTGTGCAAAGTTTGACTGCAGGGGAGAAACAACGGATTTGCTTCTAGCAGTTATCTGAGATGGTTTGAGCTAGTTATAGTTAAGTGTGGCATAGCTATTACATTTGTGCTCGTTATTCAGTGATCGATATCGCGGTGTACATTATGACTAAAACGCTTTCTAATACAAGTTTCCGAAAAATGGTCCCAGTGAGGCTAGTAAAGATGATTCCACATCGCATCCTGTCGTTTATATCGCTAACTATAAGTTAAGAATTAAGAGTAAACTAAGTGATACTTTGTAGATTTAATAACTACAACAACACTTTATTTGACAATTGGACAGAAAATGGTTAGGAAATGTGATATACGAAGATGGGTTTACATACATTTAAAAAATATTTAAAATACATTTGACAAACTAAGCGCAGTACTCGAGACATTGGTTTATTTTCCCGAGTTTCAAAACAGGGTTGTATACCGCCCCCACACCTCCGTAGTATTGATAATGATAAAAGACTATTTTATTCTAAACAATTTGTATGTTAGCCAATTTATTCACAAATCATCAGCGCATTATTGATAATCGAATTGTTATAGTCGATCTTTATCAGTGTATTGATATTCTTAGTGTAATATTGTGTATATTAATACAAAATATTGTATGTATTAAGTATAGTATGTATGTTAAAGTTTCCTAATAAACCATGTGACCCAATACCAACACAAAGCAAAAGGGAATTTTACTCATATTTTAGAATATGCATTTATTAAGTGAAATAAAAAATACGTTATCATAAAATTGCATCAACTGCGGTACATAAAAACTACCATTATTCATAACGAAAATGACAATAATATGCAGAATATGTGATATATTTGTGGTAAATTGAAGTCTACATGTTATTATTCAATGTATGAACAGACATAATTATGATATCAACACAAAGAGACTGACTTACCCAGTGTGAGTCAAAACAGTGTCGTGCTAGAGACCAACTATCTTGGTTATCTTCCTAGTATTTTGTGGGTCCTATTGAAAAGGCCAAGGGACCTACGAAATATTAGAATGGTAATCAGGACAGGACCATTCAAAGACGGAGAGGAGAGAAAGCGTGGCACATTATCATTTTATTGCTAATTAATGCTTCACTTCTATATTTAGTATATGGTTTTATGTAGAATAATACATTTGTTGCAGTCATAATCTGAGTTCTCAATCTCTATGGCGATTACATTTTGTCGGCATTCCACAGTCGCTTGTAATATAAAGATAAACACTTCTCTTATCAAACAACGTGATATTGTTTGCCCCCTGTGTAAAAGAAATAAAAACATTTCACGCCGTTAAGGGATCCTTTTAATATCTCGTATTGTTTACGTCATTTCGATCTGATGCAAAACCACAGATGGCTCGGCAACATGTTATATATTCAGAAATACCTACCTAGCGGAATTTCAAAAAAAACAAACAAACAAACAAACAGAAATATGAAAATATCAACAGACTCCACATTACATACATAAACGGAGTGATGAAAATGATTTATCTTGTGTGATCACCAGAACATCTGTGTTGGTGGTTTTGTAGACGCATTGAAAACGTCTTTACTATACGTTCATTCGTTCACATATTTCGTGGACCGGGAGAGAACAAGCATACGTGTACTGCTTTTTTTACAATGCTTTAATTAAAACGAAAAGACACTTCAACATTAAGATGTATTACTATACTTTACCGGCGATTCATAAAACAATATTGTCAAACCACTCACTGAACAAGCATCGACGTCTTTAAAGATTGTGATATCAGGTAATGTAAAATTGAAAGAGGTAATTAAACAAAAGCACATCGCTTCACTGTATGAGAGTGACTTGATATATATGAGATATATGGTTGTAATCACGTTTTTTTAGTTTTAATAAATATGGAAAGCTACACGGGGTCCTACTGCGCCAATATGTTTGCATAGTAAAACATATAACTCAAAATCATGCTGCTTCTTCTACAAAAAGTGTGATTGCCGCTGCCTACATTTAGCTCAATCGGAGTAGCACAGATGCCACGCAAAACGACAACTCATACAACTTATCATTATTTCCATGGCGACTACTACAACTCGATTTTCGACAACTTTTAATTAATTTGCGTGAATTAGTTTTGCGCTGATTACTTTTTCTCCATGGTTGTATTCCCTGTTGTACGGTGTCTTGGACTCGTAAAACTGTCGGTTGTTGCATATACAATTTAAATTGTCTTGTACATACATTGCACAGTTGTATTATTACAGTGAACTGTGTTGTAGTATTATACAGAAGCTCTATTTCCATATACACTAAAAAGGCGCCGTGATATTAGACCTCCTTGAGACGAAATAATGTAGTAAATCTGGAAATTAACTTTTCTTCCGTTTTCGATCAAGACAAATCACGTCTCTCCCAGTGTTGCTGAAAATGCATGATGTGAAACAAATTGCCAACATTATTTTTTCTCTCTTTTGCGTTCAAACTATGATACACTGAATATTTTCAATTCAATATCTATTGAATATTGGCAAGAAGGCTTTTGCTTTGGATGATGCGATTTCAAGAATTTCGTTGTCACTGTCTGCTATTACCATGACAATTCTGACCCTCATCAAAGGTAATGTGACTATATCTTGAATATAACCATTAATAAGGGAAAGTATCAGCGCCACCACGCGTTACAAAGCCAGTCCGATGAGCCAGAACATTGCGGGCGTGCTTCTTCCTCGTCCAGTATGTGTGTATTACAATTGTCATATGAGAACTAGATGATTCACGCGTGCCGACCTGCATTGACTTCGTCTTTCTTTTGCAATCGTGCGTGATATCTACAGAACACATAATCACGTGACCATGTCGACATTGTGACCAAGCATTTCTTTTGTTATAGTTTATTATACATTATTATTATGCAAGTGACCAAAGTTCAAACCATACCTGTATTCATGTTATACGACGTCTCCCCTTGTAACGATTACGCTAGTCGTCACTCTTCCAGTAATCTTTATTAATTAGTTAATTAGTAAATCTGACAGTTTTTATTAAAGTGTAACAGCTTTTATTAAAGTGAAATAAACCCCATTGGTTCAAATGCATGGGAGTGTCTAATTTAAACAATTACTGTACTGATAAGTAGAGTTGTAACCCATTACAAGATTTAGTACAGCTGATGAAGACACGTGGTAAGTGAATTTACGTCAAATAAACTTTATACAAAGTGTAAGGTATAATGCACCATCATTGCAATATGAATGAATGTCGATTTTTTAGTGTGTAGTTAAGATAGTACGTTGCCAATAAAACATTGAAATAGTTGTATGCTGATTAACATACATGCGAGTCATTCATATTTAAATTTTTAGAAGAAAAAAAGGATGTGTTTTCAAGTAAACATTATCTAAAACGTGACCATTTTAGAATATTTTCATAGGATTTCATTCAAACACATTATTCTATTCATTATTCAAAATCGTGACATCCATATGTAGCCCTCAAAATACTACATATCCTTTTTCAGCATAGGTCATTTAAGGACATTTTGAGATATGATAGAATGGTTCTACCATAGAAACCAATTGTAAACTACACAAACCACGCTTTTTTGTTCATTTTTTGAGGTCGTTTTGTAGCAATATATTTGTTGTAGGAAAATCAGTCTAGTTTTCCGCTATGTAAATGTAAGATAAATTTATAAATAAAATTGGCCTGACCCCGGGTCGAGCCTAACCAAGCCAAGTGTTGTATTTGCTTTGTACAGCGTATGGTTTGGGTATTTGAATATGAATGACCATGGTAACGTGAAGTTGCATGTGGGGTGCAGGTGGCTTTGTTATGCAAATTCATGTGAGTTGTGTGATCGACGTAGCAAGTCAGTAGACCACGAGCCGTCAAAGTGTGAGCACCGTACTCAGCTTTAACTAACAGCAGTTTGTAAGGGCATTTCTGGCTCTTCGTCACCTTGCATATGCTGCAGAACAAGATTAACAGTACAACCAGCGTTACGTTTATACCTGTGTACATACAGGACGAGTTTGCTGGTGTCAGTGGTTCTGTTCTTTGCTGAATGGAACAGGGGGAGTGACGGCATATCAACCTTGGCTTGGTAATTGTGAACTGGTGTATTGTGGACGTACTTGGATATTGGTAACTGGTGGTGCTGGTGAATGGTCTCTATTATATCTACCCGGATCGGTTACTGGTGACACAGGCAGTGTTAGAAGCTCTATGGACTTGATTTGGATGGTAGCTGAAAGACAAATTATATAATGATGGTAGGTCATGATTTGAGAATGAGGCTGGAACCCGAAGGATCATGTGGTCACCATTCCATAATTGATACACCGACGGATGCAGGATATGCCAAAAAACTACCAAAGAAGTGAATGACGGACAGAGCAGAGACAATATAAACCAGCTATAAAAGGATGAGCTAAATAGTGACCATTTCGTGTTGGTTCTCGTTCCATGAGATTTGGTCCCCAAAGAATGTGCTGTATAAGGTTAATTCAGTGGATCTCAACAGCGAGGTGCGAAATATTGCATTACGGCCATCTAAAACCATACTTGGGACCGTTGATTAAACCTGCCAGAAAGCAGAGATAGAGGTAATGCCCCCAGAAAAAAAACGCGGAAAATTTGATGAAACCCAATGGACTGAGAGAAAGATGAAAATAGGTAATTTGTTGTGTTGGAATGGCTGTTGTACGGCAAGCGAGGTGACTCCCAACATGGCATTTTATATAACCAATTTTACAATTCATTTCAATTTTGAAAACTCATTTTTATTTTATAATCCTTTTGTAAAAACCATTTTCGGTTCTGGGTTCTGTTTTTATTTTGAAAAAAACAAACAATTGTTTGAATCCATTTTCATTTTTGAAATCCGATTTTATTTTTAAAATCAAATTTTGTTTTTATTAAAATTCGTTTTCGTTTTCAAAATCTGTTTTCATTTTTAAAATCCATTTTCGTTTTTGAAATCGATTTTCATTTTTAAAATCCGTTTTCATTTTTAAAATCCATTTTCGTTTTCAAATACCATTTTCAAAATCCATTAGTACGGTTGCCGTACTGTTGCGATAACACCTGACCACAGATCGAAAATGGGCTGCGATGATAAGGACTGGGTCGGACCGGAGAGAGAAGGATAAAAACTCCCCGAAATTGGATGAAAGTCAGTATATTGCAAAGAAACTGGACAGGGAGGGACAAAGTATGAAGAGACTATGCAAAGGGACCATACAATGCAGCCTAGTATCAACGCCAACAACATGTGACCCAAGGGCCTAGAATTAACAAAATAGAAGTTACGCGGAGGCAAGAATGGAAAACCCGAAAGGTGGAGCACAGTCAAAGTGCAGACAGTCGCCAAAGACTAAGTGAGCATCTATGATCGGACTAGCAGAAGGAATGTTTATTACATATTGTACAGCAGGAGTGACATGCCCCTTATTTTGGCCAGTGATGGGCGCCAATATTCAAGGAATGAGTCACAATAATGTTACTTTGATGGAAGAATGAAGACTGTTTGGCCAGAAAAGAGAAGCGAAAAATCGGACGCTCGTACTGCAACCAAGATTAGTGATTGAACATATTCATCACAAAGGTTAGACGTCGTGGAGATAGGTGGGGAAACACCAGTGAATTGTGTGAGATGTGTGGAGAGGTTTTAACAAAACAGGTCTTCTGTGCGAGTACTGATATTGATCGCTCAATCAACACAGCCTCATGTCATATCAATAGTATAACAACAGCCAGTGCAACCACCAATAGACACCAGTGCCAATTTAATATCTAAGTTTATCATACCATGGGTAATAGCTGTAAGATTGCTAGCCATTGGAAAAGAGTAAATATTTGAGCAGATTGTCAAGAAGTTAAGAAGGGCATCTCATGTACTTAAATGTGGGTGATGTTGGCTACGTTTTTCTCGTTTGTCCAGTTCTGTTGAAGATGTTGATTTGATTGCAGTGATTGGTTCATGTTTCTTTGTTTAGAGAATGTTGACATATGGAGAATATATTGAGGTACGAGAGATGAGAAAGGGAGGACCCCATAGCATAGAGTCACATACACAGGACCAATTAAAACTACGATATGTTATCAAGTCGGCTCTATGGTACACGTGTGAACACTGCATTAGTGTGTGATCAAACTATCGTTGCATTAGCGTCAAAACAAATTAGTTGGACACTTTATTACTTTTGTTTCGCATTTGTTTGTATCTTTGATTTGATTAACAGTGTGAGCAGTTAATCACTGGAAACGCATTTAGTTTTGGAACAATTCATTGTTTCCTTATTGTTTTAATTTGGAAACATTTCTGATTGTTTACTTGCGTGATTTGCAAGACTTAAATTGTTACTAATTTCAATGCCGTTGCATATTTCTACGTGTATGACGATATACATTCATTTGAACCTTCGTCTAGTGACCCACACCCCAAAATGTTCATTCACTGACTTTTTCGCTAAACGAAACAACATCTTAGCAACGTACGGGAAAGGTGATATGTTTATGCATATTATACAATGGGAAACAATTCTCATATTACAGCGAGCTACTCCAAAAATAGCAAAGCAGGAAATTAGTTTCTCTGTGTCCTACAGTATTACAGATACGCTTTTTAATACATTCTTGTTGAATACAACACATGCATTTACATTTCTATTGTTCGGGTCAACTTGTTTCCATCATGAAATGTCACATCGTTTATGCGTTGTTCTCTACGAGGGACTGTGCACATATAATAGCTACCTCGCAAACACGTACTGGAGAGAATATATTGAGTACATTTGCATTGACAAAACGAAGCTAGTAGTGAAGAGCAAAGCCGGTTGGCATTTATTGGGGGAGCTATCGTCTTGTAATTCAACATGCTGCAAGGTTAGTTCGGGAAAAAATTGCCATGAATTGAACACGATATTATATATATAAGACTTTTTTTCAGTACTTTGGCCACCGGCCTTATGTACAAATGTGAGAATATAAAGTAATTCTATTGAACACTAGAAAGTATATTTAACAATAATATAATAATAATTATTTCTCAACTACCCCTACTTAAAAATGCGTGTTGTAAAAAGCGTGCAAGGTTCCATTGTTTTTGTTTGTTGGTTTTCAATAACTGTATAAACTTTGTTCGGTCTGGGTGATTACAATAGTATGGTGGAATATATTTCTCTCTTAAATCCAAATACCGTGGACAATAAAGTAGGAAATGAAACTCATCTTCAACAAGATTCTTACAGAATTTACATAATCTATCTATTCTTGGTACATTTTCTCTTCTTCCTGTCTTAATATATAAATTGTGGGTTGAAATTCGAAAGCTACTGCAAAGTGCTTGATCATGAAACGCATTTGATATATTTTGTTTTCCAAAATGATAATTTTGACGATTTTTTACCATGTTATTAATGTAAATAGATTTTAAAATGTGTCTCTGTTACAAGTACTTGTTAATATTAAGTGTGTGTTTTGCGTGAAAGCACTTTTTAAGTTTTGCGATGATAAACAGTTTTTCAATACATATTTCTGGTGGAAATGTTTTTTCAAAATGTGTGTCTAGTGAAATCACTTTTCAAAGAGTTATGATATTAAACACTTTATTAAAACATGTCATCGTTTGAGACGCTTTTCCTGTCTTGTCTAGTAAAATCACTTTTACAAGTGTTGTGATAAAAAAAACTTTTCAATACATATTCCTGGTGGAAACAATTTACAAAATGTGTGTCTAGTAAAATCACGTTTACAAGTATTGTGTTATGCCAATTAACACTTCATATAACGTTAAAAGACACTCGAACTGGGATGCACTTTTATACATGTTTCTGGTAGGGAGACGTTTCAATACGTGCTTCTAACGGAAACGCTTTACATAATGTGTTATTTACAAAAACATCCCTGAAATGCTGCAATAAAAACACTAACTGCGAGTATTTTCATAATATACACTTCTCGCAATTATTTAAAGTGGGAACAAGCTTTTAAACAAGCTTTTAACGTGGGAACACTTTAAATGTTTTATCACACAACATTAAAAATGTTTTATTTTAAAACAGTAATGTTGTAGAATAACTCATTTGCGATTTTAAGAAAAACACTTAATGTGTTTAATTATAAAACACTTAAAGTAGGTACAAAATGTGTCATATTTTAAAACACTTAGAAAAACAGTGTAGTCGTTTCGCTCTTCTCATGCGTTACCGATGGTGAGTGCATACATATAAAGGTTTTAGAAGCGTCTATTGTACAACAATACCTCCAAAGTTAAAATTAAAGGAATATGTTTACGTGTGTATCTACGAACAATCTAAAACCCGGTAGTCAGGGTACTGATTCTTAAACATGCCTTTTCCATGACTACGATAATTATAGTTTAAAATAGTAGCCCTTCGCTGGGAAATTGTAGTAGTAGTTTCTGTCGATAAATAAATTGAAAAACCATTTTTTCGGGTTCGTTAAAATCATATAGTACATATGTGTAGGTACTGAGTATGTACATGAACACTAATTGATTTAGTTATGGATTTTTTGCAATTTGACTTTATATCTCGCTCGTAACTTGTGTATAAAGTATCCGAATATACAAGGATTTAGATACACAATCGAACAATTGAGGTGAATGATTTTGCTGTCACGTCTATAACATAGTAATTTACATCGTTACTATAATAGTATATATTTTCTTCGAATGAACAGTAGTTTTTTTTATCAGACTTAATAATTGTTTAGCACTTTATTTTCCAAAACTAGTATAGTGAAATGATATAATATAAATACATATAAATATAAATGTGCAAAGTAATATTTTCAGTCCTAATTCAGTGCATTTAGCAAGATTATACATATATATATACTTGAATTATTGGTACTTAGTATACAAAAACAAAAATATTTTCAGTTTTCCCATATTCTGAATACAATGTTTACAACGCATTGAACAGAATGAACTAAATCCGCATACATTCACATTGTTGACTTCGCATAAACGTCGAATTTAGAAAAGTATTTAATTATAACGTGGAGTTTATCGACATAAAAAAAGATAACGAAAATGATTCGATTTGTTAACTTTTGTGTATATTATTTCTGCGTTGCCGTGCGTGAAGGATGAAACTCTTCATAACTGTAGTTAAATAATAAAACTAGGCTTTATGTAGATATGTGACTATGTGAAACCAGACAAAGGTTGGCGTCCGTCTTGCTATCCACCGGATTACACCATATAAAGATGGAGTTCAACTTAACTCAGTTTTTAGTCCATTTAATGATCCGTCAATTGCAGGAGAGGTACGTTTTAATGATATCTTATTTATCTGATTGCGCCAAAAATAGCTACTGTTCCAATGCAGACACAATTGTAATCAACGGTGTCTCTGGCGACAGAATACGGCGCGAAACATCGATTTAAAAGTCCGCCGAAATTCTTTGATTCGATAAGCATAGATAATAGGATTAATACCGGAGTTGGCGTTCACCAACATCGCCAGATAGTTGCGTAAAATACGGCTCACCTCACACTGACTTTTCCGACAGAGAACTGTCACGGCTGTAATAATCTGATACGGCAACCAACAGAGAAGAAACATGCCGACTATAATACCCAATGTGACTACCGCTTTCATGATTCTCTTTTTTTGTGAAACAGAGTCATTCGATTTATTCCCTTTCCCTCTCGGACGTTGGATAGGCACTGGATTCGAATGATCGGCTACTGATTCAGCAGGAACAGTAACTGTGTCTGGTTCTCTTTGAGTTGAGTTGCTAGAAGATGACGTTGTTAATTGCGCGAGTGTTATCATGGATAGCGTGGAAGTGCTGCTTTCTTCTTCCGAAGCTTCTTGTATTGTGATTGTCGGAACAGGTGTGTCTCTGGTCGGCATCAATCCTTCTGCCGTACTTGACTTCAATGTGGTTTCAAGCTGAGAGACAATGTCCGCCTCACTGGGTGTCGCCTCAGTGTCTATACGTCCCGTCGGAGACATTTCATAGGTTCCCATGGTGGGATCGATGCGCTTGGTCTGACGGTAAGCAACACAAAACACCAAACCATGCACGAGAACGACGAGACTGGTTGGTACAGCCCAGCTCATCCAAAGGTAGAGCAACATATTCAGACTTTGTTTTTGCCACACCATGGGGACCGAACAGTATCCAAAATAGTACTTCTCCTCGCCGAGCCAAATATAAAGACACAGTCCCTGAGACACTGCAACAATCCATACAACGAAAATACAAAGCTTGTACGCAAATGGAGTCATGTACCGATTGTGCCAAAATGGGCGGGTTATCGAGAAATAACGATCGATGCTAATCGTCAACAGTTGATATATCGAAGCGTTTACTAAGATGGGAAAAAACGTGAACGATAGTAGACACTGATAAAACTGGCTGAACAGATATGGGTTTATCACAGGAACTGCCACGTATGGATACGATAAACCTACCAATATATCAGCTACAGATAGCGATACAATGAAATAATGTTCTACTGACCGTAAATTCTTGTTAATGAATACAGCAAAGAGGACCAGCGAGTTTCCCCCAACAACGCACACTGCTACGAAACTTAGACATATTACGAAATAAAGAATCTCTCCGGTTATCTCAACCGCAGGTATACTAGGTTCTACAGCTGACTCGTTGCTATTAGTAGTCGTATTTCCGATAGAATCCATATCTACTGAATAAATATGTTGAGTGTAAAACATATGGTGTTCCAGAAGACTTCCTTCACGTTGTTTATGAGGTTGTTGACAATCTGTCAAAAACTTGCTCTTTGAAATATGTAATGTCTTAGTAAGCGGAGTGATACGTGAACTTTAAGTAAAATGTCACTCATTATTGTAAATTGAGAAGTCGTGACAAATTGGAAACGCAATTTCGAGAAAATCGTTCAAGTTGCTCCTGTCCAGAAGCGAGTAACTTAAATTTCCATATCATTGCCATATCAAAGATACCGAATACGTGCTATTTTGTGTCATTATATGTTATTAAAGTCTAGTTAAACCAAACCCATTCAAAAGTACACATACGTATTTGCCACGTGCACTCGACCCATGTTTATAATATCCGTTGGTGAGAACAAGAGTGAATATTATGGATTACCTGAAAACTACCTTGCGTTCAACAGTCGATGTTTAATGCAAACTCTTGAACGTTACTAAAATGGGTTATTCGGGGTCCTCTCAAAATGCTTGTTGACTATCATTTCCCAAGTTCTTATAGCGTAGAAACGATCTGAGATATAAATCATAAATCATCTGTTCTATTTTT